TGTGTGTGAAACACACCGAGCAAAAGCTGTTTACATTTTCGGTATTGTTGTTGCGGCTGCCAGGTTGAAAATATGCAATTCTTAATTGAAAATTGAATTTGGCTGCAGATTTGCTCGCAGTCTCAAGTGCAAATTGGTTCATTTGTATGCAATTGGCGGTTGCTGAACTGTGCGCTCCACCCCGCCACGCACACGTGTGTGTTTACCTTTGAGCACTTAAATACGCAACATAAATGAATTAAGGCAAACATTTGCTCCCAAAGCCAATAAGCAAGCAGAAGGACATGCGTACAGAGCTGACCAGAACAACAGCTTAAGGATTTGCCAGTCTTGGACTTCGATGTGCTACTCCATCCTATAAGTAGATTAAGGCATTGTCCGTCAGTTAGCTCAGTTATGTCATTTACAACGAGCCGATTAAATCTGCTGCAGACAGATTCTCGGCTGAGTGGTCTGCATATAATCAATGTGCAACAATTAATGCTACAGCCAGGCAAGCTTTTTGGGGGCCACAACACCTGCTAATTGGCAAGCCAAAGTTAATCGATTTGTGGCCTGCCGTGATTGCAGCAGGTGACTTTGCTATGGCTGCAGTCAAATGTGGCTGCTTACCGCCAGTCTGTGGCTTCATTGTGTTGCTTTCGTCCAATAATACATGCGAAAGCCAGCGCAAAAGTGAATAAAAACACGCTCCAAAGCCAACTAAAGTTGTTTTACCCTGAACACATTGAAGAGCTGAAATATGATTATACTGACTTTGGGCAGAAGGCAGAAGGAGGTGACACACGTTGAGTCTGTTTATCCCTCTGTGATCTCGTCTCTACCAAACGCAGAAGGAATTCCGTTGCTATCGATAAAAATCGAACATTTTAACTCATTTTTAAACTCAGCTTGGATACCATAAGAACTGAGGACTTTATATTTACTGAGCGCATACAAGGAATGCAGAGATCTTCTAATAATAAGATTTTGGATACCATCCTCATTTACACACACATACATATTTGTAGGATGTCAGGAAAATATCAAAATTGTATCTTATTTAACTTCAGCTAGTAGAGCTGGTACAAATGTATATGTTTCTTTCTGTCTATATTCTTTGATTGAGATCTCAGTTTCCCTAAGGCAATCTACTATTCGACTAGAGCACTCTTACTTGTTTTTAAATATACTGAATTTTCCATTTTTTTTTTTATGAAGAGTTTCAACAATCGAAATACCTTTGACAATGCATTGCCGTATTCCATTGCCGTATTCAGGCAAGTCATTGACAGCAACTCGTCAGTTAGCATGCTCAGTTTGAGTGACTGTAAGTTTATAGACTCGATTAGCAAATATGCAGAGTTCAATTAGAAAGCAATATTAAGTGTCTTCAAAATGAAATGACATTAATTAATTGGTAATTGGCAGCCAGTCCTTGAGCACATCTGAAGAGAGATTGGATTACACATGACCTCGGCAATTGCGCATTTGGCAAAGCATACTTTTTTGGGCAGACTTTAAGCCCAGGGCCGCAGCTGTATTGTACCTTAATCACTGTGGCGATTCTCTTACAAGTGATAAATACTTTTCCCTTTTCCTTTGCCAGAATCACAGATGTAAAACAACAATGAGAAGGCAAATGCAAACCAAACAAAAGGCAAATGGATACATGCTTACACAAGGAGCGCTGTAAACAGAAATTAAAACATTTTTGCCTTCTACATTTCCATTTGTGCAGCCGGAAATGCAGCAGCTCAAAGATGGCCTCCGTTATGCTGGTCTTAGAGGGCCAGTTATCTTTTACTTAACTTACCTACACTGCCATGCGCTTCCGCTGGAGCGGCCCGTCCCACCCTCCACTCAGCCGTTGGGCTTTCCTCCTTCATTTCTATTTTTTCTGCTTAATGTTTAATGCCTGATTGAGTTTTGCTTTTGATTTCTCGACTTGCTTTTGTTTTTCTGTTGATTTGTTTTCTTCTTTTTTGCTGCTTTTCTGTTTTTGCACTCACTGGACATTTCTAAGAGCTTTTTGCTTTTGAGGTTTTTGTGTTTTGAGCATTTTCAGTTATTAAACTTTTGGACCAGCTTACACTTCGCCCCTCTGCACTGCAGCAGTCGCTGGACTTTCTGTGGCTGCCCGCCCGGTTGCTAAGTAATGAGATCGATTTTAATGGCATACTTCATTTTCATTTTACTCTATTCCCCCAATATGCTCACCATCCTCCTCCGCTTTGCGCCTGCCCACTTGTGCCACATTTCGACGCCGCCTTTGTTGCCATTCGCCTTCTGTGGGCGTGTTTTTTTTTTTCTTTTCTTTTTTTTTTGTATTTATTTATGCTCTGCTCTGCTAATTAAATAATAATTGCTTTTAAGCAATTATTTTGTTTGCATACTCACAGAGGCGCGCTCGCTTTGCGATTGCATGTTTTGCCTTTCTTTCTCTCCTTTCGAAAATAATTCTATTTCATGTTCAATATAAGGCTCTGATATCTGCTTGAGTCTTGCCTAAGCCTGCAGTAGCACTTAGCAGTACTTACTATTATGAGCCTGCTCTCTTGCTTCTTAATAATTACTCGCTGTGTATTCAAACTATAAATAAGCTCAGATACATTATGCTTTAATAACACATAAACATAACAAATTGTATGTATACATCTGTATGTATGTACATATATAAATAAGCATATACTCATGCAAAAGAACGCCAACGGCATTTGCCCTCAGCTCAGCTGGCTACTTTCGGGCCAGTCTGAGTGGGTTTATTTATTAAACATGGCTATTAGCAGTTGAGTCACGTTAAATGCAATCTGGTAGCGATAAAAAAAATTTATTTATTGTTAAAAAATCGCCTTGCTGGAAAACAAAATTTGAAAAGCAAAGCCCAGAACAATTCTTAATTAAGCGGAAATCAGCATCATGATACAATTAAAGCAGCAGTGTAATACAATTAAAGAGGCGTCTGACTGAGCATAAGCACGTTTTGGTCTATGCATGTATTTGTTCAACAAATTAAAACTTGTATTAAATAACTAAGTGCTAGCTGACTAAGTAGGCGAATCATTTGGTTTGGGATCAAAAATTCCTGTCTGGACAGCAGAGCAGATGCTGACCTCAGTGAAAGTCTTGTTATAGCACCAAAAAAGAATCTGTGATCATTGAGGGCTGACGGGAGAGTCTATAATTCCATCAATTTAAATATAAACCATTTATTTAAAGGCCGACCATCAATTAGGGCAATTAGAATTTTTTACAAAGGAATTTAATTGTTTGGTTTATATTAAAATTTATTGACGCTGTATTTTGGCCGCAAGGCCAATAAACTCATCAACACCTGAGCGATAAGTCATTCGGGGTTGACAAAACAAACAACCCCCCAAACCCGGCCCAAATGCTCAGAGAGATGTATTTGCGCCCTGGGCAGATGGCAATGCACTAAATGTGATTTATGGCTATTAATTTAGTTAACGCCATTTAAATGCTGTACATTTCATGCGAAAAGTGAATTCTCCCATGGCAACACCTGGCAAATATTTGCAAATGCTTGCAGACGGTACCAAGATCAAGTCGATGGAATTTCATTTAAATATTCAAAGCGCATTCTTGTCTGTCGCTCTAACCACATAGCCACATTTCTAGATGGCAGAAATAGATAGAAATGCACAAATTGATAAGGACATAGTCACAAACAGGCGTATGTATCTCAGATATAGATGTATGTACATATATATAGAAGCAGACAGAAATGAAGATACAGATACAGATACAGATACAGATACAGATACAGATACAGATACAG